GGTTGGATGAGCCTTGAGCAACCTAATAAAGGACTTGATTAAGCACTAATAAAGTACTTGATAAAGCACTAATAAAGGACTCCCTAAAGCTCTAACCCCTGGAATTTTCTCTGCTGTTTCAGGAAGCTGAAGCCCTGGCGAAGCAGCAAGCGTGAACTTCCACTGCCTTAAATGTTCTGTAAAGGGAATTTCCACAGCTTTTTTTTTCCTAAAAATAGTCCAACTGTCTCTGCTTCAAGAAATGTAGATGTGATTTCTAACGTTTGATTGGTGCTTGCAGCATTCACTGTATGTAACACAAACTGAACACAAGGTGGAACTCAAGGTAGGGAACTCACAGTGGGATGTGAAGGAGTTGGAACCGAAGCAATTCAACCTCAATGATTTTCACTTAGCTTAACCTCTCCTGGCAATTAGTCCATTTTGTGTAAAGAAACTATTTTAGTACTAATACAGCTGAGTTTGCCCTAGAGATCCAACTCTGTCATGGAAAGCAGCATCTAAAACCTCATCAGATACTAACTTTAGTGCCTGAGTTGCCTCAAAAACGTTACTGAATCACACAGTGATTTTTCAGTATCTTTCCTGGTTTCAGATGAAATTGTAGGTGGTACCATGTAGTATAACCATTGTAGTCACTTTGGGAAGTTGTGTTTGTTCTTTTGTAGGATGACTATTTAAGGTTTGTTACACACTTGTACAGCTGATCAAAACCCAACGAAAATCCATGGATTTCTCCTGTCAGTGATGTTGCTGTGGGCTCTGGGCACAAAAAGGGATGTGGGCAGTGTCACAGGTCCCTCAGAGCTGCCTGAGCACGAGCGAGGACACACCTGTGGGCAAGACTTACTGTTGCAAAGAAGCCAAAATGGCCAGAAATGGCATTTCCTTACCTGTGTAAGGGTGAAAGCCTTTGATGTGCTTCTCGACAGCCAGTTCACACTGCTTAGAGCATTAACATCTTGTCACACCTTCAAGTAGCCTTTAGGTCTATACAGTATTTTTTCAATCGAGGAAATTAATGAATAGCAAAAACTATTGGTTTTTTTAAGGCTTAAAAGCTTCTTTTCCATTGTTATTTCCATATCTTGTAGAGCAAAATCTGTTGTAATTAAACAAGACTTTTAAGGCTTAAAAACCTCTTTCCCATTGCATTTTTGAGGAGCAAAAACTCTTGTGATTAAACAAAACCTATTTTTTAAGGCTTGAAAATGTATTTTTCCATTGTTTTTGCCATACCTTAAAGCTATTACAGACTTGCAGCTCTATCTAAGTGTCTTGCATGGGTGAATTTGCCATGTGCAATATCAGCCTGTGTGTTCTCCCAGTGCTCCTGTATTCCCTAGCCCTGTTTTAATCCCTGATTGATTTTTTGGGAGCCTGGGAGGCAGTTTGAGGCTTGTGCTTACAGCAGTGCCACGAGGCAGAGGGATAGATGGATGTTGCCTTACCTGAAAGATTAACACACTCAACTGTGCTTTTTTAGGAGCAGCAATTCCTGAAACTCTGTGGAATTCAAGACCTTTTGGGGATGGAAGTTTGGTTATGTTTTAAACCCAGGGCAAGATTGTTGTTCACTCTGATTTCATCTTCCTGAACGAGGTGACTTTGCTCTCCTTAACATTGGCTTCAGCTTCCTCTGTGTCTAAATTCCTGGTTATGGGGAACTATGGAATACTCAGTGGGATCTGACACAGTCTGTGTGTTTCCTGGGTGAGTGTGGTGAATTCCAGCCGTTGTTATTTTGGCCAGGCTGTAATTGGGAAGTTGCTGCCAAACTCTGGCAGTTCAGCGACCCAAACCACGCTCAAAGCAGGTCAATCTCTGTCTCAATGGTCAAGCAAATTGCCAAGCTGAAGAAAGCAAAGTCACTCCCCTCTCTGCCGCCCCTGCCCCCTTGGACACTCCCCCTTGGGAGTGTTGAAGCTGTATCAGCATTCCTCAGCCAGTTCCCTCTCAATGCTTCCTTTGTCCTGGGAACAAGGACCGGCACAGACTGCAAAATCCCCCAAATCTCTGTGTAGTGTGTGTCAGACTTGAGGTTTTTCCATGCAGATCTCTTGCCTGACTTCAGGAGTGCCTGGAATCTGTTACCTCCGGGCTGGGATTCTGTTGCCATGGGTGCAAGGACTGAATTTGTTCTTTCCTTCCTTATTTTTTCCCCTCTGTAGAAGTCATTGAGGGTTTAACCTGTATCTTAACCATTCCTGTATCATTCCAATAAAATTGTTTTAGGATGCTTTCTCACACCATGATTTGTTGCATGTTTTGTTCATGGCTGGAAGGTTGAAGCTGAAAGAAGTTTTCAGGGCAAAACACTGGATTGAAGAGTTGAGGGTGGACACAAGGTGAACATCATCACCCACTGCTGCTGTGGGTGAGGTTTTCTGGGTTGCATCTATACCTGTTGCAACTAATGGGGTTTAATTACTAAATGGGATTTAATTTGGGATGCACCTACACAAAACAGTCAAGGCTTGGGGTGTTTTCTACCAATCCAGGTGGGATTTTATTCACTTCTCAGTTCATATCCTCAGTCTCCATCCCATGGAATCATCTGTAAAGTCTGGTTAGATCCCTCAGCTCCTGTTGCACATGTTTCATGGGATGGTTTGGCTTGGAAAGGACCTTAAATCATCTCATCCCCCCCCCCCCCCACCACCACCATGGGCAGGGACACCTCCCACCAGTCCAGGCTGCTGGGAACTGTGCTCTTTACCATTTGTGTGGCCACAGGGCCGTGCAGGTACATTTTAAACTCAAACTAGCACTTTCGCCTTCCTTGTTTGGTAGATCCACAGGTTCTCAGCTTCACATGCCCAAGTTTGGCACCTCCTGAAAGATGTGGAGAGCTCCAGAAACCACAATCTCAGCCCTATGGATTTGCCCAAATCCCAGACTTCAGTTGCCATTGTCGCTGTTGTCCATCCCAATTCAAATCCCACTGTTCTGATCCAGACCAGGATGTCATTGGCCGCCTTGGCCAGCTGAGCACACTGCTGGCTCCAGTTCAGCTTTCTATCCAAACTCCAGTTTTCCCTTCCTGCCTAGTGCTCTCCAGCCAGTGTGTAGGTCTGTAATTAACACAAGGCATACAAGAGTTTGACTCCGTCCTGATCCCTCTCCTCACAGGCAGCACCAGGTGTGTGTTCATACACCGAGGCCTCCATCCCTGCACGTGTCTCCTCCCCGCGCCGCCATGAACTGCCAGCAGC